CAGAACCACCCAATTAGGACAACTAAACCTCCTACTTTTTGCTCATTCAATCATTTCAAGTTTGTGAACTGAAAAATTGACCATGTGATTCTCCTAAGCTCAAAAAATGGGCGATAGCGTCGTCCATTGGTCTGAAATTCTGAAATTGTCCGAAATTATCTCTTCTTCTGACTGCATCTTTAATGCTTTGGGTCTAATTTTGCTTATATGGCATGTAAATAAAAGTAACACAATTCACTCCAATGGAAAGACCAGGTCTATAAAAGTAACATAATTCACTCTAATGCAAAGAGGCCAGGTGTCTACTTGGTCTGAAATAGACTTAAGGGTAGACCGGGTTACTTTTTCTTGCTGCCACATCAGCAGGACCAGTGCAGTTACATTGGAGAATATATTTTTCTAGATTGTGTTTATTTCTTACTTGACATGTAATTTTTTTTTTTTTGAATGAACCCAAAGTATTGTGGATGCTCTAATGAAACGATTTGTATTTGGCTGTCTTTAGTTATTAATGCAGACGTTTTCATTGGATTCATTTCTTGATCAATCAAGTTAGAAAGCTCTATTTCTGTGCAGGCCTGAGATGGTAGTTGGTTGGTACCATTCACATCCAGGATTTGGATGCTGGCTTTCAGGTGTAGATATCAACACGCAGCAGGTTTGTCACTATCCCTATTTCATGTAGTTGAAATATTGTTCATTGGCTTTTAGTGTGTACTGTATAAGAATCTGGTTATATTATAATTTATATTAGAGTAAGCACTCATGTTATACACGTACTATTATGTATTTGTATATTTTATTTTTCAATGTGGTGGAGAAGTCTTGGATTTATCGGTATAGGCTGTTTTTCTTATATTACTATGTTTTTATTGGCATCATTATATATTTGTACATTCCCGTTGAGTGACTACTATTAAATTGCTAATTAGTCTTGAAATGCTATTTTCAGACAAAGCAGAAAGATAAGAATAATTATATTTAAGAGAAATCGTTCGATTCTGCTTGAATGACTGTCATTGTTTGGGTGTATTCATGAAATTCTTTCTCTTCATCTTTTTCCTGTTGGTTTAGTGGTGTTACTGTTGGTAATTGCTTCTTGATTATTTACCTTCTTGGTCTTCATGTGTTGGCATGCAGAGTTTTGAAGCTTTGAATCAGAGAGCAGTGGCTGTGGTTGTGGACCCCATTCAGAGTGTGAAAGGGAAGGTGGTAATAGATGCCTTCCGGCTCATTAACCCTCAGACCATGATGCTCGGTCAAGAGCCACGGCAGACAACTTCCAACTTGGGACATCTCAATAAGCCATCTATCCAAGTGACAAATAACTTTAATTTTGTAGTTGCTTTTAGTTTTCTTAATTATATTTATGCTATATCTTCTAATTTTTTGGAGCTGTTAACTTTTTTGCCAGGCCCTAATTCATGGTTTAAACAGGCATTATTATTCCATAGCCATAAACTACAGGAAGAATGAGCTGGAGGAGAAGATGCTTCTGAACCTTCACAAGAAAAAATGGACTGATGGTTTGACTCTCCAGAGGTTTGACACACACTCCAAGACAAATGGACAAACTGTCCAGGTAACATAAGAGGATTTTAGTATGTTTTTCACATCACTGTAGGTTCATCTAATGCTGGTAGGCTTTCCTCTTGTTGAACACTACTCTTTACTTTGTATTTCAGTAGTGTATATTTGCTGACTTGGGTTAAAATCTCTTGTGGATTTGAATTGCCCAAACTTTGAGATGCTAAATTTTTGGCCATGTGGGCAAGCCACCTTATTAGGACTAGTAATAACTAGTAACATTTACTTATTAAGAGTTCCACTCGTGGAATTCCCTTTTCAATATTTCTAAGAATTTGGATTGAATGCACATGATTTGAACGGTAATTAATGAGAAACGCTGTCGATTGTAATTTTTTAGTTCTAGATACAATTGCAACTTCATGGAATTTAAAATTACCAATTTTCGTTTATTCAACCTATGTAAAGTGGTGTTTATGTTTGACCAAGCCTGGGATAAGCCTAATGTAGAAGATCATGGATTTGCAGTCCTCATATGTTTCGGGCTTACCTTATCAATTCATGGCCTTTTGAAACTAACTGCTGCAATAGTTTCGTGGCTTTATTTTGCTTAATTACTTGGTCGTGAATTATTAGCATGCTCGTTTCTTGTTATGTCTGGGAATTGGTAGTGTTAATTAATGTTTGTGGCTTTTCAGAGTTTGGCTTTCTATATTGTTTGGTACAACTAGCTATTAGCTGATAAAGTATCAGTAATTTTTGAGCTTATAGCTTATAGCTGAAAAAAAATTTAACGCATATGTAAAATTGTTTGGTAAAATTAGTTGATAAGCTAACTGAAATAAAAAAGCTAGTCAAAGAAGCTAATGAGATAAGCTCGAGTTTGTTAAAAAAGTTTGTCCTACTAAATGAAGCTTATTTAGATACAAGAAACTTATAAGCTAGCTTATTTGTTTACCATACATAGCCTAAATGTTTATGACCTAATTCAACACATGTTTTATTTATTGTTTGTCACGAAAATGTGCAGGAGATGCTAAACCTAGCTGTTAAGTATAATAAAGCAGTCCAGGAGGAGGATGAACTACCGCCCGAAAAACTAGCGATTGCTAATGTAGGAAGGCAAGACGCCAAGAAACATCTTGAAGAACACGTCTCGAACTTGATGTCCTCGAACATCATTCAGACATTAGGGACAATGCTCGACACTGTTGTGTTTTGATATTTCTGTTTTCAATATGGCCCAACTCGTCTATGTCATTTGGTATTGAAAACTTTTTGCGGTTTCAATTTGACGTCTTTTTCACTTATGTTTTCATGTGGAAATCACTATTTGTTAATTTAGATATGTATTTCATGTTGAATAATTATTTATTGTGCTTCTGTGGCCTCTGTTGTATTTGGGTAGACCTCTAATGCTTTTTATTTTATTTTATTTTATTTTTTTTTTGGTCATGAGCGAGTCTCTTGCAAGTTATACTTTGTGACATGTGAGATGTTAACCCAGCTCATTTGAATTGAATTTTTTTGGGTCAGAACAGTTGCAACTCTGTGAATGGGATTTTCTTCACGTGTTGAAGCTTGAGCACGGGTCCTTGGTTTATGTAGTGAGGTGGGGCTGTGTCATATTTGTATTTGTATTTATTACTGTATTTTAGTGCTATGAAAATAACTAGTTAATCGTATCGAAAACACGTAGCAGCAAGCAATGATTGAACGGAAACGAGTCAATCGACTCGGCATTCATTAAATTTAGCGATCGTACAAAAAACTTTGGTTTTGTTAACAGAATTCCAATCCATTATTTGATGTATACCAACGGTTTAATAACAATAGTAACAATAGGACGTTGAATAAAGGCTATGAAACATGCATTGCAACAAGAAATTTGTAAAGTAAACATGTGGCTTTATGTGCCTTCAAAATTCTCCTCCATCGGCAACACCGTCTCGACGATGCTCTGGCTTTAGGTTATGTTTCATCGGGACCTCTAGAGCCAACTCGTCCGCCATTAGTGAGGTTCTCGAGTACCGACCTTAAATCTTGAGCTTTATTTTTATTTGTTTCTTATTATCTGTTGCAGACGATGAGAGATAGTTGATGAGAGAGAGATTTTTCATGATGCTTTAATTATTTGGAGGAATCATTGCTCTAATTAACTTTTTTCAGCTGCGTTATTTATGGTGTACAAATCCTTGATAAATGTTAACTAACATAAACATGTCCTGAACACATACAATGCACAGTTAGTGTCAATAATGTTAACATTAAGTGTCCTCATTTTAAAAGTTGTCCACATTTGATATATATATATAGTTACAAGGTTAATTGTTTGTTGGTGCTAGGTTAGTTGTCTGTAGTTGCAAGGTTAGTTGTCTGTAGTTGCAGGGTTAGTTGTATCTAGTTACAAGGTTAACTGTTTGCAGTTGCAAGTTTAGTTGAATGTAGTTGCAAGTTTAGTTATCTGCAGTTGCAATGTTAGATGTCTGTAGTTGCAAGTTTAATTATCTGTTTTTGCAAGGTTATTTGTGTTTTAGTTGCAAGGTTAGCTGTCTGTAGTTGCAAGGTTAGTTCTTTGTAGTTGCAATGTTAGTTGTATCTAGTTGCAAAGTTAGTTATTAGTAGTTGCAAGGTTAGATATATTTAGTTGCAAGGTTAGATATATTTAGTTGCAATGTTAGTTGTATCTAGTTGCAAGGTTAACTGTTTGCAGTTGCAAGTTTAGTTGAATGTAGTTGCAAGTTTAATTATCTGCAGTTGCAATGTTAGTTGTATGTAGTTGCAAGTTTAGTTATCTACTTTTGCAAGGTTATTTGTATTTTAGTTGCAAGGTTAGTTCTCTGTAGTTGCAATATTAGTTGTATCTAGTTGCAAAGTTAGTTATCAGTAGTTGCAATGTTAGATATATTAGTTGCAAGGTTAGATATATTTAGTTACAAGACTAAATATGTTTAGTTGCAAGGTTAGATTTATTTAGTTGCAATATTAGTTGTATCTATTTGCAAAGCACTGGATGCATATTTACTTCACACAAATGCATACTAGGGGTCAACGGTCAACATCGGAAGTCAACGATTTTCACCAGAAGTCATCGGTCAACGTCGGAGTCAACGGTCAACACCAGAGTCAACGGTCAACGGTCAATGATCAAAATAATATTTAAATAACTAAAATAATTAAAATAAAAAATTATTTATTTAAATAAAGAGTTAAATCTTGGCCACACATTTTGATACCCTTTTGATGGCTAAGATTGAGTCTTACGTTCTCACTTTAAATAAGTGGATGCATTGGAACAAATCCCTATATATATATATATTTACTAGCTGATGCATTTAATAAAACATTTAATAAAACCTGTTTTCATTTCCCTCCAAAAGGAGTAACATTTTTTTTATTTAATTACTCACTAATTGCTAAAACCGTTACACCTTAATACTTATATTTTTATTATTTATTTTTTGGATCAGTTACTAAATTAATTCTAAACTTGGTAACAAAATATTCAAATGTGTAACGGCTTTGTTGGAACTTAAAGTTGATTAGCACATTCAGAACTGTAACCTCTATATTTAGTTGCATTGTTGGAAGAAAAATATGATTGACATATATTATTTTTTTTCTAATCAGAAAAACCAATAATTTTTTTTATTTATGTTAATTTTCTTAATATATGCCACAAATATATAAATTATTTTATTCATGTTACTAATGTAAACGTTGCATGGTTGAAATAAAATTTAAATCTCAATTTATTTTGAATGATAAAAATAACTTAAGAAAGAGTAATAATTTTTATATGATAGAAGTACATGTCTAATTAATAAGTACAAACAAAAAAAAGTGTTTTATATCTGTGGAAATGCACAGGATCAAATACTAGTTAATAAAAATAAAGCGTAGATATAGACCTAAGATAAAGAGGAGTGCACTACAAAAAAAAAAAAAAAAAATTGTTATATTTCAACTGAAAATCCTATGGTAATATATTCCAATGGAAATTTCAATAGATATTTCAATGGTATAGCTTCCGTTGGAATGGTTCCAACGAAAATTTCAACGGAAATATTCCGTTGGAATGTGTTTTTCGTTGGAATTTTTGATAGAATTTGATGATTCAAACGACAATATTTCTAACGACTTTTTACAGTAGGAATTTTCGTTGGAATATGCAATTTCCGTTGGAATTTTTATTTTCGCTCCCTTTGAAAAATCCACCGTTAAAATCGTCAAAATCCAATGGAAATTTCAATAGAAAATCCACTCCAACAGAATATTTTTTTTGGAATTTCTATTGGAATCCATTAAAAAAATCCAACGAAAATAATAACATTAAGATATTCATTTGAATTGCCGTTAGAATAATTCTATTAGAATATATTTCTGTTGGAATTTCAACATTTTTTTAGTGATGTGTTTAGGGTATTTCTCTAATTAATTTTAATTGCATTTCTTTGAGGTTACTCTACACAAGTTCTCATAGAAGAATGACTCGTCGTACTTTTTGAATATGTATGTACTAAGATTTTTCATACTTTTACACTTTTTATTTATTTTTTTTTAAAAAATATCACATGTATATCAGAATACGAATATTTGTTAAAAACATATAACTGCATATTTATGTTGATTACTTGTTATAAGTATTAAAAATTACGAAAATGTTGGAATATCACTTGTGAGTCGTCCTGCATTGATTTGATAGGGTAAATGGATCTTGTTTATAAACCTAGTAGGCTACTCCTCCCACCACCAATTGATTTTAGGATGGAACCTCACTAAGCTGTACCTAGGTTCACCCTCTTACGGTGCGCTTCATTGTGTGTGACCACACCCTTGATTCCCCGATTATCAAAATTTGGCATGCTATCAGAGCGGGCCTAATTTGGGACCTGCGATTGTTTATCCCATTTTTGTTGCATTTGTTCTTATTATTTTGTCTTTCTTTTTTCCCCATTTTAGATCTTTTCGTTAGTTTTTATTCGTTTTTATAGTTTATGTGTGTTTTGCTCTATTTTGGTCTTCTATGTGTTTTTCGTGTATTTTGTCGGTTTTCTACGTTTTTCTTCCTATTTTTAGTGTGCAAGTCAGAAGCTCCGTGAGGAATAGATTCAGCCCAAAAGTTGAACTGACAAGCATGGTTATGTAGACTTGTTTGTTGGCGATATATAGCAAGAAGCGAAGCTCAATTTCGAGCACGGACGAATCCGAACGGGCACAAAACGCGAAGTCGCGCGAAGCACGTCTTTGGTGTGCTGGTCATAAGCTTTGGGAGAATTGGATTTCAAGAATAGTTTGGTCATGCAAGCATCATTGAATAGAGGGGTTCGTTAGCGACGCGTAGAAAAAAGCGAACTCAATTCCGAGTTCGGACGAGCCCAAACGAGCCCGAAACGCAAAGTTGCGCTGCCCATGCCATAGTGGCGCGAAGGCCTTAGCGGCGCTAAGCCTGGCTTACCTAGCGGCGTTATGCCATGTTAACGACCCCCAGCAGCTCGGGCTTTCATCCCTTAGCGCCGCTAACCCCCCTTAGCGGCGCTAAGGCCCCCTGCAAGTCCCAAAATGGTATAAAACCCCCAAAAACTCATTTTATTCTCCATTCTTTCACTTCCGGCTTGAAGGGGGAGGAACCCTAGGTCCAAAAATTACCTCCCCCCTTCACTTTCCTTCTTCTTCTTCTTCTTCTTCTTCCATCTTCCTTCTCCATTTTTTTTCTCTTTTCTTTCTTTTCCATTTTAGGGATTAAGCTTGTATGTGGATTCAACACTTGGATTGAGATTAATTGTAAGTTTTTCTTCTTGTTTAATCCATGGAAATAGTTGAATTTGGAGAATTGATTTATTGTGTTGAATTATTGTATGTAGCTAAACCCTATTGCTAGGGATAGCGGATGATTGTTCTTGTTTAATTCGTAATTGTTGGGCTTTAATTTGTTCGTTATTGTGCGAGTTGATTATGCTAGGAATTGATGAATTCTTGTTTGATAATTTGATATAACCTAAGAGTGACACTTAGGTTAATTTGTTGATATAATCGAAGAGTGACACTTCGATTTTGTGATTGGAATAATGATTGAATGTTGATTTGTCGAGTTGTGGTTTGTTCATTCTACATGATTAGTTGATTGAATACCTTCTAATTGAATTAGCGATTTTTAGAACCAAAAGGGGAGGAGTCGTAGAACTAGGTTAATACGAGGTAGACGATTTCGTAACTGAATAG